TCTAAAAGTTCTTGCAGTTGCACTTTTAGCTCTCTCAATTCAGCAGGTGCCATTCGATAAGGAGTCTTAGAAATGAGACTCGTACCAGGTACTAGGTCAATTGAAAATTCAATTTCTCTATCTGGGGGCATTCGTGGAAGTTCTTCTGGAAATACCTCTGGAAATTCTCGGATAATTGGTATCTCTTCCAAGCTTGGTTTTCCATCATCAACCATCTCAACTGAAGCTAAATAACCCATACATTCACTCCTCAGCGCTCGATGTGCTTTAAGGGCTGAGATGATTTTTAAGGGTTCTTGACACTTACCGCCCTCAAAACAAAATTCGGGTTGGCCAGGAAATTTGAATACTACTTTCTTTTCTCGACATAAAATAGAAGCATGATTTAAGGATAACCAATCCATCCCCAATATAATATCAAAATCATGCATTTCTAACATCATTAATTCTACAGGGAGTTCCTTGTCGAGAATATAAATTTTACCCCTACAACATTAATTTGATACTAATATGTCACCTCCAGGTGTACTAACAAGCAATTCTTCTTGTAGGGTATCACATGGTAATTGGTTTCTCTTAACAAACTGTGTAGCAATAAAGGAATGCGATGCACCAGAATCAAATAGTACTCGAGCATGAACCGACCCAAAAATTAGCGTACCTGTCACCACATCCTTGTTTGCTTCTGCTTCCTTCTCAGTCAGAGAATAAACTCAGGCTTTGGCTTGAGGATACCGATTCTCACCACTGGACTGGCCAGTCTGGAAAGTATTTCGAGATGGTTGTTGTAGGGGACAATTTTCTATTTTGTGATCTTTCTGACCACATCTCAAACAAGCTCCAGTATTTCTCCAACAACTTTTCGCTTCATGCCCCAGCTTATGACAAATATCACATCTTAAAGTTTTCTGGTTAGTAAATTGCTCCTCTCTGTGTCCGAAATTCTACTTTTTATTTCTCCAATTTTTATTTCTTCCACCACGATTATCTTTCCAGAACCGCTTCTTTGGGTAGGAGCTGCTCGTCTCATTCTTTGGCTTTGTATCAATTTCATTTTTCTCAATTAATAAGGCCTTCTTTAATACTTCTCCATATATATGTAGGGAGTTCAAACGCACTGAGCGCCTTCCGAATGTCCGGCCGAAGCCCTTCCTCGAAGCGACGAGCTCTATCTTCCTTATTACCCAACAAGTGAATGGCAAATTTTGATAGATAAGTGAACTCTTCTTCATATTCAACTACTTTCTTATCACCTTGCTCTAATTTTTTAAACTCCTGTTCTTTTTGTTTGCGAACAGTTGAAGGAAAATACTTTTCATAAAAAAACTTTTTAAGTTCCTCTCATGATATCTTGTATGCCTTCTCACCTAATGTCCCGACCTGCATTTTCCACCACCCGTAAGCGCGGTCTTTTAACATGTATACGACATAATCAACTTTCTCCTCGTCAGGGCATCTCATGTATGTGAAAACCTTTTCCATTTCTGTGATCCAATGCTCAGCAATCATAGGATCAGTTGTTCCCTTAAAACTGGGTGGGGATAGTTTCTTGAATTCTCTCATGCCACTTCTTAATTTTGGGTGCTCCTCGTTTTGACCATTCGTCCGATTGCGATCAATTTGATCTTGTTGTCTGGTGACTACAGATGTCGTGCTCCTCGTTTTGACCATTCGTCCGATTGCGATCAATTTGATCTTGTTGTCTGGTGACTACAGATGTCACCGCTTGCAGCAGATCCATCAATGCATTGGCGATCAATTTGATCTTGTTGTCTGGTGACTACAGATGTCACCGCTTGCAGCAGATCCATCAATGCATTGTTGTCTATTGAGTTTCCGAAGGTGGATGCACGAGCAATTCTAGATCTCATCATTTCACCTATTGTCTGATTTAGATCCCTATCTCCATTAGGAGGGGTTTGCTCATTACCTGAAGTCATATCTTCCTATAAATAATAAAATATTTCAGTCAACTATTATACAAGAAAAATTCCTAAGTCAGTCACATATATGTAATTTAAGTGATTAGGAACTCAATCATTACTCAACATAATAACACAAATCAGTATTTACAAACCAAAAGTATATTATTTTAACTTTTTTTATACATATATCTGAGTATATGGGTTTATATATACATATTTTCTACCAAAATGTCCTACATAAACCAAAAGAGTGACTACGAAAACCCATATACTGATATTACAAAATTGCCCTAACAGTTATGCTCTATTTCCCTGAGGAAGAGGAGCTGCTGGAACTAGACTTCTCCTCAGTTGGTTCAGTCTCCTCTAAGTCTTGGCTATCAATAGAATTGGACATTGGATATGGATCTATGCTGCTAGTCCCCCATCCTTCAAGGTCGAGATCTGGACCAATGCCTAGGCTACTCGACTCACCCTCAGAGGGGGCAAGTCTCTGGTCATCACTAGGAATCTGGGCTACAATGGACTCCATGTCAGAGGGGTCGGATGAAATCAAAATGATTTCTGAAGGTGATGACTCAACTGGAACCACTTCTACCACGAGATCCTCATCCTCTGTATAATCAAGCTCAGACTCTGATGAATTTATCATAACAACTTCTACGGGCTCGACCCCCGTTGAGTCTGGGGTCATATGATTAGACATTATTAGGTTTGGATCAGTTTCATCAGAAGTGTATCCCCAGTCTCTTAAGCTGGGTTCCCAAGAGCTATCTACAGAAATCATAGGGTTGGACAGGGTAGACGACGAACTGGAAGATGAATTGGTTCCCGCCATCCTACAAAAAAGGGGAACCACCCATCAACTCACTAAAGAAAAAGGACAAAGTAAAACAAAATAAACATCTAAACACTCCTTGATGAACCTAAAAGGTTTTACTATAAAATATTTATATGCATACATGTATATACATATGTATACATACATATATATCACATAATTGATCCATACGATAACACTCATCTAGCGCATATACTCTATGATAATGTGTCCTACCAGGTTTCTAACGTCCAAACCTAAGCTCTGATACCACCTTACTGTCACGCCCCGAAACTGCAGTGGAAAATCATAAAATACGGGGTGCGCGATAGCAGCGACCAATGCTTAAGACAAGTCTTATGCACGGGTCAAGCCTGGCACTTCATATCACATAGTTTAATTCAAAATTTTCATAAACCTGCTGATGATAGAAGTCAGAGAAACTACATATATGATCGGTACTTACAGCCCACAAGCTCACCGTTATAAACATTTTTACAAAACAAAACAAAATGTGCTAAAGGTAACATCAAAATGAAGAGGCTCTCCATATAACGCCTCTCAGCCAAAAGCTCAAACCAAAAGTTCGGTTACTATGAAGCTACGCCGGATCTGAAAAAAAAATTAAAAACAACGGGGTGAGCTAGCGCTCAGTGAGAACATTTCCCACGAGAGTTCCTAGATAACGAACAAAATAGTATTAAGCATAATACTCAGAAATACTGAATCATAAGTTTTGCATGAGAAATTCAAAGATAGCAAAATACGATCCAAACATCATGATATTGTATGTTTTCAAGAAAAAATGCAACAATTATATTTTCTTTCTTATGTGCAACTGAATATACTATGAACTTTCTTGGAATCAAACCCTTTTTGAATCAAGGTAAACATTAAGACGAAAAAGAACTAGAAATTTATACGAATCACAGAATTATTATTTTCTAAATCTCACAGTCAATTATCAAAATCTTAATTCTCGATGAGTTATTCATAAATGTAAAAGTCACCCCATATATCACACTAAGGCTACGAATTATAGCCCAGAAGCAAGGGAATGCGTAACCACATCACATAACAGATAATTCTCGGGAATCGAATGCACCTAACACTGTCATAGGTTACTGGCCAAATACAAAAGGGCCAGAAAAAATTTCAGAAGGGCCAAATACAGAAGGGCCAAGGCCAATACAGAAGGACCAAATAAAGGTGCATTCACCATATGGCAGGCAGAAACAATCCATAGTGGACTATTTGAGGGTTTGAAAACATCGAGATCACATGTCAAATGGGTAATACTTTGCATATCAGAATTTGCATATATTTTCAAATGAAATGACGAGGTAAAGCTCCTCATTTCTGTTAAAACAGTTTACGGATATTTACTTTTTCTTTTATCAGATACTAAATCACGAAAAATCTTTGAATCCGTTAAACTGTTGAAACACGTTCCAAATACTTCATCAAAAATTTTCAGATAAAACAAAGTCCACAATTCTTTGAAAATTTCACGAGAGCCAAATTTAATTTTCATATTTTACCTAAAGATCAAATTAGCTTTTCATATATTGTATGAGGCTAACATCGTATTATAGGATAGACAACAATAGAAATAGGTCAAATCTTTATATACATGAAAAGACATATTATTTATTCATATTTCTTTTTATCACAAGATAAATCAAATATAAACCTCATGCAATTTCATATTATAAAATACTAGTGAGAAATGAACTCACCTCTAGTGGTCACGACTTTCTCAAACTATTATTCTCCCGAATATCAACCAGAACCTATAATGTAAGATATAGGACTAATTATTAATTCAGGACAAACATATATTATAGGTAATTCAATTCATAGTCTAATAAATTCAGATATAATCAATAATAATTAAATTCTATAGTACATATGAGCTTATTATTAACATTAGCAATTTATCAAAATTTTATAACTCTCACATACTAGCTTTTGGACTTCCTAATAATTTATAATAATGCAGGGGGTTATAGGAAATTTATCAAGTCTACAGTTATTGTTTGCAACTGAACAAAAGATAGGGGTCTAATAGATATTTTCCAGTCCCTTTTTTTTCAACCATAACTTATATTACTAAAAGGTTTGTTTTAAAAAAATTTCATGGTTCAGGGGCTTAAAGCAAATTTTCCTCTCCTTATCTAAACCTGCTTCCTGACTCTTCATCTTCTTCCCCTTTTTTCCTTTCTTTTCTTTTTTCCGTTCCCTCTCTTCTTTTTTTTTTCTTTCGGTTTCTCTTCTCCCCTCTCTCTCTTACTTTCTCTCTCTCCCTCTCTCCTCCTTCCTCTCCCTGTCTCGCCAAAACCCCAAGACTGCGGCAAGGGATCGCCGGCGAACAAAAGTGGCCGGCGGTCAGACCCCCGACGAAACTAGGGTTAGTATTTTTCTCTCTTATTTACAAAAGCAGTTAATCAAATATCAATTTATCAGTTTATTACTATTCTATAACAGATTTACTTCTTCTAAATCAAGAAATTTTAGATCAACATGAGGATTGACTTATACCTTACTGATTTTGAACTTGGGGATGTTGATCACGTTCCCTCCTATTCTTCTTCTTCTCCTCTTTTTTTTGTGGCTTTTATTTGATTTTTTTTTCCTCTGTTTCATTCCTCCATCTCCTGATTTTTTTTTCCAATTTAAAAGAGAAGGTGAGATGTGAGAGACGGAGGAATTATTGGCATAGGTTGCTAGGGATTTCGTAGGGTTGATTTCATGGATTAACAAAAGATGAACACGTCATTTATAGGACTCTCTAAGAACTCTAAACGAGACAGCTCAAGCTGTAAGCTTCTCTCTCCCTTTTTTTATTAATATTTCTATTTTATATCATTTTTTTTATATATATTATCATTTTTTTATATGTTTTTTTTCCTGGGCTATTACATGACAACTGTTTCTTTACGCATGCTCGAAGTTAGGGAAGTTTATCTTGGTGCAAACAATGCTGATTTTCTGTGCTAGTCATGCTAGGCAACTGTGTTCATGCCATTACAGTCAGAGCTTGAAAGTTGTTTTTTCGGAAGGTGGGTGGGTTGGTGGTGGGGGGGGGGCGGGTGGGCAGAAACTCTATAGGTAGTAGGCCTTTGCATAGCAAAAAACTTGCAGAAAAGGCATTTGGAAGTGAAGTGGTAACTCATCTCCAATATTCCATGTGGAAATCGAAAAAGATATTGGCAAATTACTCATGTGTGAATCATCACATCCTACACGAACGGAGAAGCATGAACTTAGCATTATATTTTACGTGATGTATATATTGGAAAAATAGAAGAAGAATGGCAACTATACAATGCAGTTCCATGTATATTAATTCTACCGCTATTTGAGTTCTTGCTCAACTACAATGTTTGATTGTCACACATAATTAGTGCATTAGATATAACCTTCTTATATAACAGGCTAACCATGGGAATACCAGTTCTGTTGACCCTATAGTTTTGATGATGATTTGACAAACAATTTATTACTAATAAGCTTTCTAGTGTTTTGTGTTTATGTTCTTTTTTTCAGGTATTTCAACACGCGTTAATCAAGCGTTAAAGATTCAAGTTCATTTGCGTGGATTTACCTAGGTATATGTTAGTTTACTTACATATACAGTATATGATTATATCTAAGCTCAATATATATATACTTAACACGATTTTTGACGTTTTCTATCATATAGATGATTTTTCATTAAACGCTGTTAAAATACTTTATCTCATGTTTACAGCTCCTTCATACTTCACTATATACATATATTATATGCACAATATATATATGAATATTTACAAGTCCTATATCAAAGTTCACTTTCATAAAATTACAGGTTTTCTAAGCATTCTTCAAAAACAGGTAGTTTTCACAAACGAAAATTAATTTTCCAGAAATTCTCATTTAGAAACTTTCCCCAAAGTTTCATTATTTTTGAACTTGATTTGATATTTTTTCTGGATTTTCAAACTAGCCCCAAAACCTGAATTTTTACATATATCAGAATTCGGTCGACCGGTACGGTCGACCGACTGTTGTTCCGTTTCTGAGTAAACTTCCAGAGAGCCCTCCGGTCGACCGGAATTTATATCGGACGACCGAAATTTTCAATTCGGTCGACCGCTTTTTCCGTCGGTCGACCGACAGCTTTAATTTCCCGTTTTCTGAGTTTTTTGAACTAAGCGGTCGACCGGACCGGTCGACCGCCGAGTTGTCAGAAAGAGCCTAACGACTAGTTTTTTCAAATGGGTCTTTTGGTCTTTTACCTATTTCTAGCTGTAGTATTGGGGTGCTATATATACCTCATTGCTGCTCTTCCTCATTAATATCCAAGAAATCCAAGTTTGTTGTTTAACAAAATATTAATCGCGTTTAAGAGCTGTTTAAGAGTTGGTTTCGCTAATCAGTTTTTCAAGAGAAGTTTTCTACAACAAGAAGAGGCCTTCAAATCTTATTGAGATCACCATTTCCTCAACTCTTCTTGTTTATTGAGAAGTCTTCTAAACTCTTTCCTATATAGCTTATTATTTTACTTTCATTTGATTAAGCTATATTCATTGAGTTATATTTATTAAGTTTCATTCACTATTATCACACACACTTATTGAGCTTGATATTCTCATATTATATATTGTGGGTTGTAGTGTGGGATTTAGTGAGTGTGAGCTTCACTGAGTTCTCATTTGTTATTTGAGAACAAACTCATGTATTGAACCTTTACTTGTGAGATTCACTTGTAACACACTTGTACACCGAGAGAAGTGTGAGGAGAGAGAGACGGGGTCAAATCCAATAGGAGTGGCGTCGATTGACGAACCCTGGGAGAGGTTGTAATCGAGCACTTGAGGAGGAGGACACGGGCTAGGTTCCTACACTTAGTGTGTAAAGTGTGTTTGTTGAGTGATTGTGTAGTGTGAGAGTTTTTGGTGAACTTGTAAACCGAGTGTGTAGAAGTTCCGGCTTCCAAACCGGATTGTGATAGTGGATATCTCCTCGAGGTGAGGAGCGGGGACGTAGGTCGTGGGGACCGAACCTCGTGAACATATCGTGTGTTTGTGTTTTGTTTGGCGTACATATTATTCATCTTTATTGCTCATATTCATATCATATTTATTCTTGCTAGATCAAATTGATCAATATAATTTTAATTGGTATTAATTGGGATTAGATTAGCATAAGATCCTAATCACCCCCCCTCTAGGGTCTAACAAGTTCTTCTTATGTTTATTTGTTGCCAGTTATATAACAGACTGAATTGCTTTATGCAATAATCATACTTCTATTTTTGTTTTTATTTTTTTCTTAAATATATCTAATTTTGCATTGTTAACTTACAATTGACTACTTTGTATTGTGTAGAATTGAGTCATCGAGGACGCAACCTTATCAGGGGTCGATTCAGCCGCAGAGGACGATGCACTTTATTTCACCCAGATGTTAGATTCCCTGCACGGAGGGCATCACGATATTTATGAAAGAGCCATGGGCATTGGTAGCACTCGGACTTACTTGAGGGTGTCCTCCATACCAAAAATCGGCACTTCCAATCAGGAGCTACGTCGCGAGGTTGCTGATCTTAGAGCTCAGGTAGCTGAGATGGATAGTCTCAGGAAGGAGCTTAGGTCTCGGATGCATTGGATTAATAACAATATGGTAAATATGCTAATATACACACACTCTCGCATACACATGTGCACTGGCATACACAAATATACATACACCTAATACTTATACACACGTAAACATACACATACACTTAACACTCAGACATGTATATACTCATACATTGCTATTACTTTATAGGTTAATTCTCAGGGCGCTCGTCTTGCTCCCACTGCTAATGACTCACCAGCTTTTACCCGTCCTTCTCCAATTCCTCAGCCTGCTGCCGATATACCACATTCTACTCGTCCTACTTCGAATGCTAACACTTCTACTTCTAGTGTACAAGGTTTGTCACAGGAGAATCTTACTAGGACATTTGCAGACTTGAGGCATTCGGGCTTGTCCCAGGAGGACATTCTTCAAGGAATTTCTTCTCTTCCTTGATTGGATGGATCAAGCCACTCCTATCTTATATTTTGGACGTATGAGTCATTTTGGATATTGGAGACATATATAATATTGGATGTTTTTTATTGTGAGATATTGAGTAATCATTGCGTAATACATGTTTTGTCTCTAATATTAAGTTGAGTAATCATTGTGTATGTATATATAATATTGGATATATAGCACTGTTTGAGACATTTTTGTGTATGTATATGTTTTTATGTCATTATAAGATATTGAGATATCATTGTGTGAGATGTGTATATTAAATGTAAGTAGGTAGATAAATAAAACAACTAAAAATAAAAAAAAGTTAAAAATCAACACGCCAAACGGGTTAAGCCATTTGGCCTAGTCTTAACCCAAACGGTTTAGACCGTTTGGACAAAATTCTGTCCAAACGGTCAAAACTGTTTGGACAACGTCCCAAATGGTTGTAACCGTTTGGGATGTCACAAATGTCCAAACGGTTGAAACTTTTTGGACAGAAATTTGTCCAAACGGTCTAAACCGTTTGGAATAATCTCTGTCCAAACGGTTATTCCAAACGATTTAGACCGTTTGGACAAATTTCTGTCCAAACAGTTTCAACTGTTTGGACATTTGTGATATCCCAAACGGTTACAACCATTTGGGACGTTGTCCAAATGGTTGTTACCGTTTGAGAGTCTGTCCAAACGGTTACAACCGTTTGGGCGACTGTTGGGAAAAATTCATCCCCAACGGCTTCAGCCCAAACGGGTTTTTTTCCGCCCAAACGGTTGTAACCGTTTGGGACTGCATTTGTCCAAACGGTTCCAACTGTTTGGACAGATCAGTTTTGTACTAGTGTAGAGGTAAATGCAAACTATAGGACTTTATGATTCGTTTACTTTCAAAAGTCTCATGTTAGCTAAATGATAAGTATAAAGTGTCAGCCTCCATCAACTCTGAGAGGATTGTCGTTTAACTTATTCCATGTAATGTTTAACTTTTTCTACTATATATTTTCCTCCATGTAAAGTTTGTATAACGACTACAAAGAGCGGGCACTTGCAATGCACGTGCCAATTCATAAGTTTTCAATTAATTATCAATCATTAAACTCGTAAGAAGATAAAAATACACTACAAATTTGCTAGTTTCTTTACAACATGAATTCTGTTGTAATATACTAAAGAAATAAAATAAGAGACAAGAGACAAAAGAAGAGAAATTGTAATTTTATTCATATTCTATTTCCATACATGATACAATTTATAGATACATGATAGAAGATAAAAGGACATCAAGTTAATAGTCCACATACAAAGTAATGTCCACATACATTTTGTCTTTTAGATATTAACAAAATGTCTTTTAGATATCAACAAAATGTCTTTTAGATTTCAACACTCCCCCTTGGACATTACTTCGAAATATCAATGCCTCGTTAAAAACCTCGCTAGAAAAAACCCAGTGGAAAAAAAAACTAGTCGAGGAAAAGAGTACATGACATACATACATTATTTCTGTTACATCAGTTGTCTCGTTAAAAACCTTTCGCTAAGAAAAACCATGCATGTAGGACAAAAAACTTAGCAAAGGAAAAAAGAGTACAACTATAGATCTTCGGGATCCAAACTTGTGTTGTATTAGTTGCCTCATTAAAAACTTTTAGCTAAGAAAACCCTGTGGGACAAAACTTAGCAAAGGAAAAAAAGAGTACAACTATAGTCCTTCAAGGCGCAATCTTCGGGATTGCATTGAAAATTCGCTCCCCCTGATGATGACAATCTTCTGAGTCTATGCTAAGAAAAACCCAGTGGGACAAAACTTAGTTAAAAGGGGCAAAATATGATGATAGACCTTCAGGGCCCAATCTTCAGGATTGTGATAAACACGTAAAATATGCATTATCTTAGTGTGTTTCAAGCATGATTTACGAGTGTTTAATGCATATTTCATGTTTAGATCGAGGATACCGCTGTGGTTTGTGTTCTTATATGTAGGTATTAGCTCAAGATTGAAAGATTTGATGATCGTTGGAAGTTATACAAGAGTTTGAAGCAACAACAAGATTTCGAATGCATGGTTTGTGAAGAAAATGGATGCACGAGTATGAAGAACTGAAAATTCGACCATGATGCAATTTGAATTTGGAAAAGTTCAAAAGATAAAAGTTGTAGATCTCTTCATCATGTTTCCAATGCAACTGAATCACCTCATTCCGAGGTCGGACGCAAAAGTTATAGTCAAAATACCAAAAACTGAACAAAGAAGCACAAAATCAGCAAAACAGCCCCTACCACACCCTGGTGTGGTGCAGACCACACCTGTGGCGCGGGAATTAGTTATTTTCTAGATTTTTGGGGACATATAAATAGAGGTTTTGACTTAGGGTTTTAGAGATCTTTTGGTTATGTTCTCTTAGACATCAATTAGCAATTATTTTGGAGTTCAAGTATTGAAGAAAGACATTAATCTCTTATAGAAGAATGGATTGCAAGTTTTTACTTTAAAGATTTCAATTGAAAGACGGGTTAACTCTTTCCTCTCTTTGATTAATTTCTTCTTATGATTAATTTGTATAATTATTTGATGTATTCTCTTATCCCAATCATGTGTGAGTAGATTTCTTGTCTAGGATTGGGAAAGAACCCAACTTTTTTGGTGATTGATGATGAGTTGATATAGGTTCTTGGTGAAAGTTTAAATCTTTAAACTTGATTTCTAGTGTTTTAATTTTGTTGATTCGCTTGATCACCGGATTAGCAATCATGGGTAATTAATTGAAGGAGTGAAAGGTGAAAATTAATACCGGATCCCTAGAAATTAAGCAGGGAACTCGAACCACGAAAGTAGGCTAGATTCCTTGGGGTTTTGATTAGGATTAGCATAAAGCTTAATGGGTTTAATTTAATCTTGATTCCACGAAAGTAGGTTAATTGAGATTAATTAGGCACGATCTTTAGACCTTGAAAGAGGCTTTAGATTAATTTAGGCTAATTCACCCTTTTTAGTTTAAACCAACACCGAGAACTGAAATAATTCATCATTGAGCATCGAAGTTGTGGTGATAACCCAATCCTGGCTCTTCATTATATTGAACTTCCACCTGATTAGTTATTATTTTATTTTTTTTTAATTTTCATCTCTTCTAATTTACTCATTAGCAATTGGCGCTGTTGCCGGGGACTACGGTGTTAATATTAAGTTCTTACGTTATTAAACTAGACTAGATTTTTTTTTATATTCTCTTCGCTACTCACTTTCTTTTATGCAAGGGCATCAAACAGAAGTACACAACGAAAACAATCCTGAATTATCGGTGACTCTTGCAGAGATAAGAAGGTATATAAGGGAGCAAAGGAACACAGAACAAGCTACAATGGGTGATCAGAATCAGCTTCTTAAGGATTTCGCTACCCTAAATGCTTAAGGCACGCATTCGAGTATTACAAGGCCCACTGTTGAAGCTAATAATTTTGAGCTAAAACCATCACTGCTCTCAATGGTTCAGCAAAATCAGTTTGGAGGAGGTGCTACTGAAGACCCGAATCTCCACCTGTCAATTTTCTTGGAGTATTGCGACACTTTGAAGCTTAATGGAGTGACCAATGATGCTATTCGACTCAGATTATTTCCGTTCTCTCTAAAGGATAAGGCTAGGGCTTGGTTGCACTCATTGCCCGCTGGGTCCATCACCACTTGGGATCAGTTGTCCAGGGAATTTCTTGCAAAGTATTTTCCCCCAAGTAAAACAGCACAGATGAGGAACCGGATCACAAGCTTTGTACAGAAGGAAGGAGAGTCACTTTATGAAGCTTGGGAATGCTACAAGGAATTATTAAGGATGTACCCTCACCATGGACTGGAGAAGTGGTTAATTGTTCACACCTTCTACAACGGGCTCACTTACAACACTCGGATGACTGTTGATGCTGCTGCAGGAGGAGTTTTGATGAACAAAACAATAGATGAGGCATACACTCTCATTGAAAACATGGCTCAAAATCACTATCAATGTTCACGGGGAAAATCGTTTTCATTGAAGTCATTGTTTTCTTAAGCAACAGTTTATCGGTTACAAAAGATCCGGTCTTTTTATAAAATCCGGTTACAACAAAATCAAAGAAAAAAAGAAAAATTATAACTTTTCTTTTCTCGAACAAATCACAAGATCCTGTTTTGCGGTCTCTTGCTTGTGTAGGTTCTTTGCCTGCGCCGGGGTTAATCCGTGGACCGCCGCGCGATCTTGATCCGGTCGGATCTATACGATATAACGGGTGCTATTTCACGAAAGAAATAACAGCCAAGGGGATTATTTCACCAAGGAAATAATAACCCTAAGTAATCAAAATCGACTAAGCGAAATCAATACTCTTCTCGGGATCAAAAACCAAGTTTTGATCCGGAGGATGACCGTGTAGATCTCAGATCTGATCTCTTTCGAACTCCTGCCTTATTTGGCGTGGATGATCGCCAAGAACCAGATCTGAAAAGTCCGAGTCCTCAAAGCTCCAAAGCTCCAATCTTTTTTAGTCTTGAGTCTTTAATCCAGCACAGTTTCCCCTCCAAAAAATTCAACCTCCTCAACAATGAGCCTTCCTTCTCTATTTATAGGCATTTCAATCCAGATCTGGGCTCAGATCTGGGCCCAGATCTGGGTGGTCGGCCGTTTTGAGTTTCTTCAGAATCAAATCAAAACATGGACAATATATCACTTTTTGTGAGAGCCACCATTTGGTGACTCGCATGGGTGCGAGTCTCGGCCAGGTGGCTCGCAGCCATGCGAGCCAGTTCGTACTACCTCGGGTGTTTTAGCTCTAACTCTCTCGTACGATCTCAGAATGAGGTGATTCAAGATGCGTTGGAAAGCTGACGAAAAGACCTACAACTTTTGTGTTTTGAGTTTCTTCAGAATCAAATCACAATATGATCGAAATATCACTTTTTGTGCGAGCCACCATTTGGTGACTCGCATGGGTGCGAGTCACCATTTGGTGGCTCGATCTCAGAATGAGGTGATTCAAGATGCGTTGGAAAGCTGACGAAAAGACCTACAACTTTTGTGTTTTGAGTTTCTTCAGAATCAAATCACAATATGATCGAAATATCACTTTTTGTGCGAGCCACCATTTGGTGACTCGCATGGGCGCGAACTTTTGTGTTTTGAGTTTCTTCAGAATCAAATCACAACATGATCGAAATATCACTTTTTATGCAAGCCACCATTTGGTGACTCGCATGGGTGCGAGTCACCATTTGGTGGCTCGCAGCCATGCGAGCCAGTTCGTACTATCTCGAGTGTTTTGGCTCTAACTCTCTCGTTCGATCTCGGAATGAGGTGATTCAAGATGCGTTGGAAAGCTGATGAAAAGACCTACAACTTTTGTGTTTTAAGTTTCTTCAGAATCAAATCATAACATAGCCGAAATATCACTTTTTGTCCGAGCCACCATTTGGTGACTCGCATGGGTGCGAGTCACCATTTGGTGGCTCGCAGCCATGCGAGCTAGTTCGTACTACCTCGGGTGTTTTGGCTCTAACTCTCTCGTCCGATCTCGGAATGAGGTGATTCAAGATGCATTGGAAAGCTGACGAAAAGACCTACAACTTCCAATAGCCGAGCCACACATGATATGTGCGAGTCATACATGGTGTTTCGCCCCTTTTGGGTGAAACACAACTCCTAGCTGCGTTGTCTTTTGCCATTTCGTGTGTTACGTTGACCCGTACGCTTCACCGACTTGCATCATAAATTTTGTTAAGTTAGAGGTGAATGATGAACGTGTTGGCCACTTGGTGGTGGCCGGTGAGCACGCGGGCCATCTAGCGTTGGCCGTTCTGTTTCATGCATTGGTCGGCGTGTGGATACCTATAGGCATTTTTTGACACCTACAGATACCCCCTCCAAAGTATTTCAGACTCATTCTTTTATAGAGGAGTCTGGAATGCTTTGGATGTGATAGTCTCAACCTTCAGTCGGTGTGAAAGGACCTATAAACTGCTTCAATTCTTAACTTCTTCAGCCTTTAGTCTATTCGGTGTTTTGTCGAATAAATAAAGTTCTTCCGGTGCTGTGTTTATCGTCTGACCGTTGTCGAAATCTTGGATTAAAGTTGATGTGTAAGTTTCTGAATTTAGCTCTTATCGTTGAGTTAACTTTGAACTGATCATCTTCGTCGGGAATTCTGATTGTAATTGAACTCCTTGGAATCATCTTTTGTCTTATTTTGGCGAAATTGCTGATGCGTTGACCGACATTAACGTTTACTGTAACGCGTTGTCCGGCGTTGATTTTAGTTGTAACGAGTTGACCAGCGATTGACACAGTTTATACTCGTACGTTTGCTAGAGTCTCCACGGTTTAAGCACTTAAGGCGTTGGAGCGTGGCGGTCCTAAATATTGGGCTGCAGGACCAACTATTAAAGCTGATTCATCTGCACGTGTGGATCTTATCCCGAATTTGTTGGATGTCTAAGTCACGAGACCAACTAATGGGGCTGGTGCGTCAGTGACTTTCGCATATATAGGATTTTTGGCAAACCCTCAGCCATCAACGGGTTTGATGCGCCTTTACCGGCTACCGTTTGAGTCAGGCTAGCATGCGGATTGTTTAAGTCCGTTCCGCATGTGACGTTATGCTAAAAGAGTTAACCCTTTTAGTGCTACGATATTGAATACGTAGACTTCGTCTTTCTCCTGTGAAAAGACTAAACAGCAACGTGTATCAGACGTTAACTTAGGATTTTTGGCAAATCCTCAGCCCTCAACGGATTTGACATGCTTTTACCGATTACCGTTTGAATCGGGCTTACATGCGGATTGTTTTAAGTCCGTTCCACATGTGACGTTGTGCTAAAGGAATGAACTCCCTTAGACTTGATGCTACGACTTCGAATACGTAGACTTCGCCATTGTTACGGGAACAGGCTACCCGGTAACGTGTGTTAGACGCTGACTTATCCCTACTTAGGCTTTGGGATAAAATACCCCAGACTGGATTCTGGTGTCTTTTTCAATCGGTGAAAGACTAAACCGGCAACGCGTATTAGGCGTTGACTTATCCCTACTCAGGCTTCGGGATAAAATTCCCCGTACGTGTGAAGCACGGATTTTGGTGTTATGAATAACAACCTACCACAATGTTGAATATGTGGACAAGTGTTCTTTTTAACGGTTAAGAACTAACCGGCAGCGCGGGTTAGGCGCAGACTTATCCCTGCTTAGGTTTAAGGATAGGATACCCCAGAATCGAACTCTGGTGTTTTTTTCTACAGAAAAAGACTAAACCGGCAGCGCGTGTTAGACGCAAACTTATCCCTTCTTAGGATTCAGGATGACATTCCCCATGCGTGTAAGGTATGGATTTTAGTGTTATTAATAACAACCTGCCACAATGTTGAATATGTGGGCGGGTGTTCTTTTTAATGGTTAAGAACTAACCGGCAGCGCGGGTTAAGCACAGACTTATCCTTGCTTAGGTTTCAGGATAGAATACCCCAGAGACTAAACCGGCAGCGCGTGTTAGGCGCAGGCTTATCCCTGCTTAGGATTCGGGATAAACTTCCTAGGATGAATCCTAGATTGATAAATTCTTGAAAAAGGTTGGTGTGGGAAAGGAAGAATTTTATATTCTATTTCCCGATCTTCTATTAGGGTGAAGGCGAACCCGAATACAAGGAAGGAAAAATTTTATATTCTATCCCTTGATTCTGGAAAGAAAGAATTTTATATTCTATTTCCAGCGCAAAAGAAACTAGAAGTGGGATCTCCACTCCGAGAATCGGACAGATTCGGATAATCCTAACTGTCGGAAGGTTGGATTACCGAATTAAAGGTAAATTCCTCGTTTATCGAGAGTGAATTGTGGTTTTTGCCCTAACTGTAGGCAGGTTTGACCAAGCGGGAGTTTGAGATGATCCTAACTATAGGAAGGTTTGATCACTCGATTTGAAAGTGGACCTCTCGTTCATTGGAGGAATCGAGAGAGGATTTTGGTTTTGGTCCTAACTGTAGGAAGATTTGACCGAATGGGAGGTTTAAGACGATCCTAACTGTAGGAAGGTTTGATCGCTCGATTTGAGGACCTCTCGTTCATTGGGGGAATCGAGAGGGGATTTTGACTGTGGTCCTAACTATAAGAAGGTTTGACCAATTGGGAGATTTGAGACGATCCTAACGTACTGGCCACTCGATGAAGGGTTTTGACGTTAAGTAATCAGGACTTAACACGTTAAGCTTTGGAAATTACCATGAATTGGCGGACATAAAATTTAGTAGACCCACCATCAATTGACTTGATCAGTGGGGGATTTTTGTGAGGAAAGATTAATCTGTCAAAAGGATCGAATCTCGTCTCAACAAGATAACTCATGAGAATTAGTGAATTTGATAACAATAATGGAAAACATTCCAACCTTTAGAGTTTAAATGTGGATGTTTTACTTATCACTTTTATAGTGATTGGGTTATCCCTAAGAATATCACCTGTGGTATTCTTTCGGGAACTTCCCGATGCATGAATAATCCAACCCCAGCTTCCCTTGTGGAACTAGGTCCGACATTGTATTCAGTTACATGACCGGGTTATCCTTAAGAATATTACATATAAAAATTCTCCAGGAACTTCCCGTGAAAGAAATGAAACAGTTTAGACTCATATACATGTTGGAGTATCAGGGAGCAGTTTAACCTCTTATACCGGTTGGAGGATTGAGAAGCAGTTTATACTCTTATACTTGTCGGAGTCTAGAAAGGAGCAGTTTATACTCTTATACTTATCAGAGTGTAGAAAGGAGCAGTTTATACTCTTATACTTATCGGAGTGTGGGGTTCTTATTTGGGCTTATCTTAGCGTCGTTATGACGCCGGCTTCAACCAATGTTTGGATGCTATTCTTGAGAGCGAAGCAATCCTTGGTGGGATGAAGGACCCTCTTGTGGTACGCACAGTACTTCGGATCCGCAGTATTGTCA